TATATTGATTAATTAGATTTTTTAAAACCTTTATTACAATGAAAATCCAAAGTCATTTAGTATAATCAATTACTTTGTAAATATATAAAATTGATTTAATTTAATTAATTTATGTAATTATTTTTAAAAATAATATTTATTATATTTAAAATTTAAATTTCAATCCCGTCCTATCCTCAAAAGTAATAGTCTTCTTTGTTAAAAAAAAAAAAAAACACCTTGCAAGCACCAAATTACAATACTTCTGGCTTATGCCCAGCTTCTGTTCTGCTGCGTGCATTGAATGCAAGTCGTTTATCAGGTTGAAAAACTTGATTTTGCAACCTTTTAGTAAATAGTAAACTTGTTATTTGTATAAATTTGAGAATGATTGGATGAATACGGGATAGCAACTTTGCTCATAAGGGAGAAAAAAAAAAACAAAGAAACAACATTGATTAAGCCTAGGTCCAGATCAGTTTCTTTCCTGCCAAGTGCCTTGTAGCTTTTTCATCACCTGGGTCCTGATAGGACAGATGCTGGCTGTAGACTTGAAGGTGCTGAGCTTCAACTACCGTTGATGTTAGAAAGCTATAATCAGAAACAGGTTCCATGGTCAGTAGACCTTCCAAAACCTTGCATACCATGGACATTGAAGGCCTTCTGTTATAATCACTTTGCAGGCACCAAATGGCAATCCTTATCATCTTGACAGCTTCTTCTGCATTTTGCTGAATGCCTTCAATACAATCATCGACCATGTCGAAAAGTTGATTTTGTTCTGCCTTTTGTTTCAGTATGGGCAAAAGTAAATAGTCATCTTCATCAGGCCGAGAGAAATCCAGATTTCTTCTTCCACAAACAACTTCTAATATGACAACATCAAAGCTGTACACAACTACCTTTTCTGTTATCCTTCTGCTTAACCATTCAGGGGCTAGATATCCTCTTGTTCCTCGCATTTGAGTTATAACATGGCTTTGGCTCCTGTCAATTGGCCTTGCCAAACCAAAATCTGATAACTTGGCATTAAAGCTGTCATCTAGAAGAATGTTTTCAGGCTTAACATCTAAATGAGCTATTCTCATTCGACAATCCTCGTGAAGATATGCTAGTCCCTTGGCAATATCAAGGATGATCTTCTTCCTGATTTCCCATTCAAGTGTTGTAATTGGGATTTTGTTGAAGATCCACTTATCCAAAGAACCATTAGTCATATGCTCATAAACCAACAGCCTGTTTGAATTTTCAACGCAAAAGCCTATTAATCTCACCAAGTTGACATGATTTATGCTGCCTATCGTCTTCACCTCTGCTAAAAATTCTTTCCTACCTTGACCTACACGATCCAAGCGCTTTACTGCAATTTTTGCGCCATCACGCAAAGTCCCTTCAAACACTGATCCAAATCCTCCTCCGCCAATCCTTTTATTGAAATTTTCTGTTGCAGACTTGAGATCTTCATAATTGAATCTTGTTGGCAAATTTGTTGCAAGATTCAATGACTTCTCCCAGTCATCTTCAGTTTTCTCCCTTCCTTCTTCCTTTATAGACCACTTCTTTCTTAGGATGCGAACACATGCCCAAATTAAGATACTTGTAAATATCAGAGCAGCAACTACAGGTACAATGATTAATTTAATCCGAATTGATTTCTTTTTTGCCAAGGGTGGACTTGGCAATGGAGCCAAGGGTGGACTCAGTGATGGAGGGCTTGATGGAACCAATGTTGGTGGTGGACCTAGTGATGGAAGGCTCGATGGAACCAATGTTGGTGGTGGACCTAGTGATGGAGGGCTCGATGGAACCAATGTTGATCTCTGCACCTTTATGAAGGATGTAGAGTTGTAAGGAAATAATACAGGTGAAGTGCTCATCAATGAAAAAATCTGAGATGGTAAGGAGCAGTTGCCACTCAAGTTATTAGAATTGTAGTGAAACAAAGCTGCTTTGCAAGAACAATTCCTTAAACAAGCTTGTTTGCAACTCTCAATGTCTGTATCGAGATAGCTGCCACAAAACCAAAATAAGAAACGTTAAGAATTTCTATAAATGAGTGAAGACGACTAGATTGGCAGGACAGGGGGGTGACTCTGCTGCATCCAGTACTGGAATTCAATTCCTTGAAATAATTTCCTACAGGACAACTACATCGTTCGTTTGAGCATATCCCATAGTCTCCACAAACAGTTGGATATGCACATATGCCAAGCTTGTCTGTCAAGATGTCAGCAACTTCCGATGCATTTCCTTGAACCCATTGGTAGGCTCTCAAATGACCATCTGTATCTAACCTCAGAAACTGAAAATTTTCTGTGTCAGAAGTGTAACTTGCTGCAATTGTCCTTCTTGTATGTTCAAGTTCAAGCCTTCCAGTCCTAAATTGCTTAGATTCTTCACCTTCAGCAAAGACTTCATGGTATGTCTGTGGCGGACTAGACTGAATGAAAGCATATAGATTGTCATTTGCAAAGGACAAGTAAAACTGACCCGGCGTCCAATTTGATGCAGAGACACTGGCGATCAGCTTTTGCCCTTGCTGTATCTTTGATTCGGGAGCCATGTATCTTTGGGGTAATCCAAAGATTGCCAATAAAAGAACCCGTTACGGAATAAACAAGCATAAGAGTCCCATTTCCAGTTATGTTCATATAACTAACTAACATGTCTGATGTATTCGAGGACCATACAAACATACCATCAGCATCAGAAAGCACCAAATTTCCATCTTCCTTGAACTCAAGTATGGCATTCTCCTTGACAGGATTGTCTCTGTTGGCTATCCAAAGTATTTGTGGGGAACCTGACTGAATAATTGTAGAATCACTTGTTGCTTCTACAGCAAAAACAGCGAAATAGAAGGCATTCGTGGTTCTACGACCGTAAAAACCACACCCGAAAGCTGGGAAATTTGCTGGATTGCTGGTATTGAGAAGTACAGATCTAATAGTTGAACCATCAACAAAGTCTACACTTCCTCTTGATATGAAATTATTGTTTATCCAGGTGCTTGGAAGTTCAGCAGAGGCATATTCAGTTTCAACTGCATAGAGGAAGAAAGGAAAATTAATCAAGGACAGAATTAGTTGAATTAAACATGTCACCGCCACAGTATTTTCTTGCAAACATGAAATCATCAGCTCAAGTTTAGGCCGAGCTGGAGAGAAAAGCCGAAGCCATGCGTAAAACTATGGGCCTTGGTAAAACTATGAAAGAAGGTTTATTTTCCAGAGGCTCGTCTGATCTAAAACTCCTGGCAAAGTGCTGAAAGATTAGCAATGCCTGACACAGATCAGCTCACGCTTCCACTATCTCTCTATTTTTCTGGAGACAGAAATTTCATTTAGTTTTTCACAGGCACACTTGTAAATATCTAATTATTGATCGAATGTTTGTCATTTAACACGGAAATATTCAAGTACTAGAAGGAAATTGAAACAAATGAGCAGGGTCCCAACAAATGCAAGAGTCAAAATTTCGGTGGGGACTAGAGTGACGCTTTAATCATGAAAGGGAATCGCAATTGGGACATATGCCCGTCTTTTTTGGGGTTTACAAAAGTTTGTTTGGTCTTAATTAGACAAGTTAGTTTGAGAAGTCAGTTAAAGAACATAAGAAATTTCAATGCTAGAAGTTTAAAGGAAGATTCATGGCAAATGAAAGCATGAAACCTTCTGGCCACAAATTTAGGTTTGAAGTCCATGTTTGACTTCGAACTTATACTCTTTCCAATAAACTACCTGCTCACGAGCTCAAATTAATGCACCATCCCCGCTAGCATGAATTATGTCTTGAAGGGGCTAATGCAGATTTACAGCTGTTTCCAATTTTCATGTTACTACAAATTTAAGAGGGGGAGACTTACAACAAAAATGCAAGAAAAATCAAGTCTGTGGTAGCTCCCTGGCTAATTACTCATACTCCAATTTGTTAGTAGTTACTTTCGAAGTGTAGTTCAAGCACCTACCATTATCTCATTACAAGGAATCAGTTATGATATTGAACTGCATAAAATTTATTAAAATATTATATGTAACACATACTTATAAATAATGAGTTTTTATATAAATTTTTATTATTAATCCTCACACACCGTCAATAAAATAAAAAATTGTTATTTAAATAAATAATAAAAGTATACATCTATAAATATAAAAACTGAACTTATAGTTTTGAAATATAAAAAAAAAAAAACATAATTATTCATTTAAAAAATAAGAAATTATCAAATACATTAATAGTAAAATTTTTAAACTTCACAAACGATATTAATATTATGATACATACTCTTTAAGATATATTTAAAAAATATAAAAATTAATTAAAAATAAGAATGAGACATGTGACATGTGTCAATTACATTAAAGTGCATCAAATACTAACTTTTAAAGAAATGATTTAAGAAATGGGTTTAAATTATATTTTCAAAACCAAAAATAAAAAAATTAATATATCCTTATTAATTTATTTTTTGTTATTACATAGAAATTTTTTGTGCCCGAATTGGTATTACTTGGCTTGTAACATTAAATCCAATTAATTTTTTTTAGTTAATATAAAGAAAAATATTTTCAGGAGTGACTAATATGAACATCAAAATAACTTGATTTAAATTTTTTTAATTGTTTTTTATTATAATATTATAATTGAGCAATCAAAATAAAAATTATATAAAATTTCATCAATTATAAACATAAATTTTATATAAAATTTTAATAATTTTTATGTAATTTAAAATTATAATTAATTAAATATATTATAATAATTGTAAATAATATGCTTCACCAACGATCTCGACGTTAATCAACTTTCCACCGGCGTAGAATATGAGCCTGAAACCTTAGTGATCAACCTAGACGCACCCACACTTGATTTAAACTCCTTCGATGACGTACAGAGTAATTAACGCACTGCCATTTTTTTCTTTTTTTTTTTTTTGTTACGCTCACCAAAAGATTGCACACTTTTTACTTTTTCTTTTAGCTGAAACTAAGGTAAAAACCTCACAACTTAAACTCAGTTCTCTTCTTTGTATCAAAATACTGGTTCTTTTTTACAGTAAAGCTAATCCTTTTGGACTTAAACGAAACAACCCACTTTCCAGAATTGCTTTTATGTCCTTCTTTTGTGCTTTCTAGCAGGTATTCATGGCTTCCCTCACTGCAAGTTAGCCTCAACCACTGTTTTTACAAGGTAGAAAGACCCTTGTCAGGACTCTTCGGAAACTCCCAGTTTCATCTGCTTGAGGTATAGCATTTACTTTACTTATCCTAATTCCTAAAGCAACTATCTTTTTACGATTTTATTGTACTTTAAAATACTATGGTTCAATTTTAACTACACTTGTTCACTTGGATAATTTTTGGTTTGTCCATAGCTGAATTTGAGCCTCTATGTTCGTTAATTTTCAGTTTTATGTTGGTTATAGATAGATGATGCACTTAGTTATGTATTGATTTTCAGTGTGACAGTCTGGTAACAGAATGTTCCTGATGGAGTTTCAGTGTGGTTTTCTTAGATTATAGTTATGACATGGAAATGGAATATTCATGTGGCAGTAGCCGGTGACGAGAAAATCTAACCTAGGGCAAGGCAGAAATTCTTAGTATTTAATTCTGAGTTAATAGTCCTCAGTGAACTCGCTAAAGACTTTCAGAATCTGGCATTGTGTTTGTTGATTATCCTTGAATCATGCCCTTAATGGGATTAAACTATGTTGATCTCATGGCAATTCCAGTGTAGATACAGAGCAAATACTTGAATCTAAGACTTACTCTTGGGGAATTATAGAGTTTTCTTTTTTTTTTTTGGGTTGTCTCTGATGTTGATGGAAAATTAGTTTGGATTTAAAACTGAAAATGTTTGGCAGCTCTATTAGTTTAGTAGCAATATTCCGTGCTTGTTGTGATTTGCTCTTTTCCTTTGTCTCCTGATTTTCTTGCATTGCAGAATGCGAAATTGTGCTGTTATTGTGAACGCTACAGGTAATGGCTTAGAGTCTTCAACCTCACTTAGCTTGGTAGTAAGCATGGAAAGGGGTGAGGATGGAAAATCTTTTAAGCTAATGATTAAGTAACAAAGTAAGAAAGTAGTTATATTTAACCATTAAATTAACAAGTTTTTCATTTTTACCATTTTTCATATTTCCTAGCAAGCAAAGCCTTTCCGTTGTCAAGTCTTCGCAAAATATTGTCTCTCACTCAGACACACCCACCTCCTTATTGTCATTGCACTTCCTTTATGCTCAAAGCATATCAGGAGAGGGGGGATTAGTAATTACTTTCTTCAAGAAATAGCAATTTGTATGCTTAAATTTTAAATAACTTAGTTTTTAATTTTTCCTTTCTGTATTTTCTAATTCTTTTTTCTTTGTGTGGTTTCCATGCAAGAAGGGATACTTAGCTTAGGTTCATTGGATGCTTGGTTGTTATAGATCCAGAGAACAGGAAACCAAACGTCTTTTAACTCTATTTTTTTTTCCTTTAATGTGTTTCTCCTTGACTCTTGCTTTAGGCAGCAGTTTTCATATTGCCACAACTTTTTTATTTTTCTGAGATGGCTTTAATTTGTTTCGAACAGTGGGTAGGTCTCATTGGTCTGGGATTTGCAGCTACATTGGCCCTGTGGGTGTCAAGTCGTGTTTCTTAATTTTGAGGATTCGAACCCATCTTTCTTATGTTAGTAGCTTTGAGCTTAAAGAGAACTTCTAATGGCTTCAATCCCCTCACCCACCTCTTCATTAGCTTCATTTTTCTTTTAATTTTGGATCCCCCAGTAGCTTTCTGCCCATGTTAATATCTCACTGGTATATGTTCTTGTTTCCCATTTCTCCTGCAAGGTTTCAAATACTAACTCATGTTTTTCTTTCTTTTCAGCGGTTTATATATCGCTATCTCTTGTTCAAACCTCATCGGCAAGTAGAATTCCTTGACTTTTGAGATTGGTTGATGCTGAAATCCTTAGATGTTACATGATACATGAGATATGATTTCCTACCTTGAAGAGAACACCATAGGTGATTTGTGAAACTTTAACTTAGTCTGGAACAAACAACCTAATTCTGAACTGTTCCAAATCATGTAAAAGTCAATATCTGAAATATTTGGACAGTGGATTCTGCTGCCAAATCGTACTTAAATGTAGTGGAGGCTCTCCATTTTGTTTTACATTTTAGCATTCTATATTGAAAAAGATATTTTTCTATGTCCCTTAAAATCAAGAATCGGTTTCAAATCTATTGATTCATCATCAAATTCTTTATCAGGCTCTTGCTTTACATGAATTTTAATAGCATTCTATATTGAAAAAAAATTATTGTTTTTTTGTAAAATTATAAAATTATATTTAGAAGTTGGAGGGGAGAAGAAGCATATGATTGTGATACTCAATTTTATAATTTCATATGTGATTTTGTATAAGCATAATTAAAATTGTATATTCTTTAATATAATTAATATATAATATATGATATTAAAATTAGTAATATACAATTTTAATAGCACTAATTATATAGTAGAGTATAAAAATGATATACTCTAAATTAAAATTAATAGTAATATAGAATTTTAATATATGATGTTGTGGACCTGAATGTACCACAATAATTGTTAATATTGAAATACCATAATCAGAAATAAGTTCAATATTGACTAGTTAGATTTTTCAAAATCGTTGCTGCAATGTAAGTTCAAAGCCATTTAGTACAATTAGTCACTCTCTAAATACATAAAATTGATTTAACTCAATTAATTTATACAATCATTTTAAAATATATATATTTAATAAGTTTGAAATTTAAATTATAATACCTATAACGCCTATTATATTTTAAGTTATAATCTTCTTTGTTAAAAAAAAAAAAAATCACTTTGCAAGCACCAAATTACAATCCTTATGGCTTATGCCCAGCTTCTTCAATATATGTTCTGCTACGTGCTTTGAATGCAAGTATTTATCAGGTTGAAAAACTTGATTTTGCAACCTTTTATTAAATAGTCAACTTGTTATTTGTATAAATTTGAGAATGATTGGATGAATACAGAATAGCAACTTAGCTCATTAGGGAGGAGAAAAAAAAGAAAAACAAAGAAACAATATTGATTAAGCCTAGGTCTAGATCATTTTTTTTCCTGCTTAGAGCATTGTAGCTTTTCTGTCACCTGGGTCCTGACAGAACAGATTCTGGCTGTGGACTTGAAGGTACCATGATAACTTCTGCTGGAGCTTCAACTACCGTTGATGTCAAAAAGCTATAATCAGAAACAGGTTCCATGGTCAGTAGACCTTCCAAAACCTTGCATACCATGGACATTGAAGGCCTTCTGTTATAATCACTTTGCAGGCACCAAATGGCAATCCTTAACGTCTTGACAGCTTCTTCTGCATTTTGCTGAATGCCTTCAATACAATGATCGACCATGTCGAAAAGCTGATTTTGTTCTGCCTTTTGTTTCAGTATGGGCAAAAGTAAATAGTCATCTTCATCAGGCCGAGAGAAATCCAGATTTCTTCTCCCACAAACAACTTCCAATATGACAACACCAAAGCTGTACACATCTACCTTTTCTGTTATCCTTCTGCTTAGCCATTCAGGGGCTAGATATCCTCTTGTTCCTCGCATTTGAGTTAAAACGTGGCTTTGGCTTCTGTCAATTGGCCTTGCCAAACCAAAATCTGATAACTTTGCATTAAAGCTGTCATCTAGGAGAATGTTTTCAGGCTTAACATCTAAATGAGCTATTCTCATTCGACAATCCTCATGAAGATATGCTAGTCCCTTGGCAATATCAAGGATGATCTTCTTCCTGATTTCCCATTCAAGTGTTGTAGTTGAGATTTTGTTGAAGATCCACTTATCCAAAGAACCATTAGTCATATGCTCATAAACCAACAGCCTGTTTGAATTTTCAACACAAAAGCCTATTAATCTCACCAAGTTGACATGATGTATGCTGCCCATCGTCTTCACCTCCGCTAAAAACTCTTTCCTACCTTGACCTACACGATCCAAGCGCTTTACTGCAATTTTTGTACCATCACGCAAAGTCCCTTCAAACACTGATCCAAATCCTCCTCCCCCAATCCTTTTATTGAAATTTTCTGTTGCAGACTTGAGATCTTCATAATTGAATCTTGTTGGCAAATTTGTTGCAAGATTCAATGACTTCTCCCAGTCATCTTCAGTTTTCTTCCTTCCTTCTTCCCTCATAGACCCCCTCTTTCTTAGGATGCGAACACATGCCCAAATTAGGATACATGTGAATGTCAGAGCTGCAACTACAGGTACAATGATTAATTCAATCCGAATTGATTTCTTTTTTGCCAATGGTGGACTTAGTGATAGAGGGCTTGATGGAACCGATGTTGATTTCTGCACCTTTATGAAGGACGTAGAGTTGTAAGGAAATAATACAGGTGAAGTGCTCATCAATGAAAAAACATGAGATGGTAAGGAACAGTTGCCACTCAAGTTATTAGAATTGTAGTGAAACAAAGCTGCTTGGCAAGAACAGTTCCTTAAACAAGCTTTTTTGCAACTCTCAATGTCTGTATCGAGAATAGCTGCCTCAATACCAAAATAAGAAACGTTAGGAAGCTCTATAAATGAGTGAAGATGACTAGATTGGCAGGACAGGGGGGTGACTCTGCTGCATCCAGTACTGGAATTCAATTCCTTGAAATAATTTCCTACAGGACAACTACATCGTTCGTTTGAGCATATCCCATAGTCTCCACAAACAGTTGGATATGCACATATGCCAAGCTTGTCTGTCAAGATGTCAGCAACTTCCGATGCATTTCCTTGAACCCATTGGTAGGCTCTCAAATGACCATCTGTATCTAACCTCAGAAACTGAAAATTTTCTGTGTCAGAAGTGTAACTTGCTGCAATTGTCCTTCTTGTATGTTCAAGTTCAAGCCTTCCAGTCCTAAATTGCTTAGATTCTTCACCTTCAGCAAAGACTTCATGGTATATTTTTGGGGGACTAGACTGAAAAAAAACATATAGATTGTCATTTGCAAAGGACAAGTAAAACTGACCCGTCGTCCAATTTGATGCAGAGAAACTGGCCATCAGCTTTTGCCCTTGCCGTATTCTTTGATTCGGGAGCCATGTATCTATGGGGTAATCCAAAGATTGCCAAATGGGAGTGCTAGAAGAACCCGATTCGGAATAATCAAGCATAAGAGTCCCATTTCCAGTTATTTTCATATAACTAATTAACATGTTTGATGTATTCGAGGACCATACAAACATACCATCCGCATCAGATAGCACCAAATTTCCATCTTCCCTGAACTCAAGTGTGGCATTCTCCTTGACAGGATTGTCTCTGTTGGCTATCCAAAGTATTTGTGGGGAACCTGACGGAATAATTGCAGAATCACTTGTTGCTTTGACAGCAAAAACAGCAAAATAGAAGGCATTCGTGGTTCTACTACCGTAAAAACCACACCCGAAAGCTGGGAAATTTGCTGATTTGCTGGTATTGAGAAGTACAGATCTAATAGTTGAACCATCAGCAAAGTCTACACTTCCTCTTAATATGAAATCATTGTTTATCCAGGTGCTTGGAAGTTCAGCCGAGGAATATTCAGTTGCAACTGCGTAGAGGAAGAAAGGAAAATTAATCAAGAACAGAATAAGTTGAATTAAACATGTCACAGCCATAGTATTTTCTTGCAAACATGAAATCATCAGTTAAAGTTTAGGCCGAGCTGGAGAGAAAAGCCGAAGCCATGCGTAAAACTATGGGTATTTTCCAGAGGCTCGTCTGATCTTAAACTCCTGGCAAAGTGCTGAAAGATTAGCAATGCCTGACACAGATCAGCTCACGCTTCCACTAGTTCTCTATTTTTCTGAAGACAGAAATTTCATTAGTTTTTCACAGGCACACTTGTAAATATTTAATTATTGATCGAATGTTTGTCATTTAACACGGAAATATTCAAGTACTAGATGGAAATTGAAACAAATGAGCAGGGTCCCAGCAAATGCAAGAGTCAAAAATTTCGGTGAGGACTAGAGTGACGCTTTAATCATGAACAGGAATTGCGATTGGGACATACGCCCGTCTTTTTTGGGGTTTACAAAAGTTTGTTTGGTCTTAATTTGACAAGTTAGTTTGAGAAGTCAGTTAAAGAACATAAGAAATTTCAATGCTAGAAGTTTAAAGGAAGATTCATGGCAAATGAAAGTATGAAACCTTCTGGCCACAAATTTAGGTTTCAAGTCCATATTTGACTTCGGACTTTTACTCTTTCCAATAAACTACCTGATCACGAGCTCAAATTAATGCACCATCCCCGCTAGCATGAATATGGCTTGAAGGGGCCAATGCAGATTTACAGCTGTTTTTAATTTTCATGTTAGTACAAATTTAAGAGAGGGAGACTCAATCTTATAACAAAAATGCAAAAAAAAAAAAAAAAAGTCTGTGGTAGACTCCCTGGCCAATTACTCATGCTCCAATTTGTTAGTAATTTACTTTTGAAGTGTAGTTCAAGCACCTACCATTATCTCATTACAAGGAATCAATTATGATATTGAATTGCATTAAATTTATTAAAATATTATATGTAACACATACTTATAAATAATGAGTTTTTATATAAATTTTTATTATTAATCCTCACACAACGTCAATAAAATAAAAAATTATTATTTAAATAAATAATAAAAGTATACATCTATAAATATAAAAACTAAACTTATAGTTTTGAAATATAAAAAAACATAATTATTTATTTAAAAGAAAAGAAATTATCAAATACATTAATAGTGAAGTTTTCAAACTTCACTAATGAGATTAAAATTATAACACATATTCTTTAAGATTTATTTAAAAAATATAAAAATTAATTAAAAATAAAAATGAGACATGTGTCAATTACATTAAAGAGCATCAAATACTAACTTTTAAAAAAATGATTTAAGAAGTGGGTTTAAATTATATTTTCAAAACAAAAAATAAAAAAATTAATATATCCTTATTAATTTATTTTTTGTTATTACATAGAGATTTTTTGTGCATTTACGAACCGAATTGGTATCACTTGACTTGTTATATTCAATCCAAGTAATTTGTTTTAGTTAATATAAATAATTAAATAACCCAAAGATTTTAAGAAAAATGTTCTCACCAGTGACTAATTTGAATATCAAAGTAGCTTGATTTAGATTTTGTTAATTATTTTTTATTATAATATTATAATTGAGCAATCGAAATAAAACTTATATAAATTTTCATTAATTATAAACATAAATTTTATATAAAATTTTGATAATTTTTATGTAATTTAAAATTATAATTAATTAAATATATTATAATAATTGTAAATAATATGCATCACCTACGATCTCGACGTTAATCAACTTTCCCACCGGCAGAAAATATGACCTGAAACCTTAGTGATCAGTAACCTAGACCCACCCACACTTGATTTAACCTCCTTCGATGACGTACACATTCATTCACGCAGTGCCATTTTTTTTTTTCCGTTGCGTTGGCTCACCAAAAGATACCACACTTTTTACTTTTTCATTTAGCTGCAACAAAGGTAAAAACCTTAAACCTTAAACTCAGTTCTCTTCTTTATATAAAAATATTTGTTCTTTTTTATAGTAAATCTAATCCTTTTGGACTTAAACGAAAACAACCCACTTTTCAGAATTGCTTTTATGTCCTTCTTTTGTGCTTTCTAGCAGGTATTCATGGCTTCCCTTACTGCAAGTTAGCCTTCCCCACTGTTTTTACGAGGTAGAAAGACCCTTTTCAGGACTCTTCGGAAACTCCCAGTTTCATCTACTAGAGGTATGGCATTTACTTTACTTATCCTAATTCCTATAGCAACTATCTTTTTACTATTTTATTGTACTTTAAAATACTATGGTTCAGTTTTAACAACACTTGTTCACTTGGATAATTTTTGGTTTGTCCGTAGTTGAATTTGAGCCTCTATGTTCATTAATTTTCAGTTTTTTGTTGGTTATGGATAGATGATGCACTTAGTTATGTATAGATTTTCAGTGTGACAGTCTGGTAACAGAATGTTCCTGGTGGAATTTCAGTGTGGTTTTCTTAGATTATAGTTTTGACATGGAAATGGAATATTCATGTGGCTGTAGCCGGTGATGGGAAAATCTAACCTAGGGCAAGGCAGAAATTCTCAGTATTTAATTATGCGTTAATGGTCCTCGGTGCACTCGGTAAATACTCTCAGAATCTGACATTGTGTTTGTTGATTATCCTTGAATCATGCCCTTAATGGGATTAAACTATGTTAATCTCATGGCAATTCCAGTGTAGATACAGAGCAAATACGTGAATCTAAGACTTACTATTGGGGAATTATAGAGTTTTCTTTTTTTTTTTTAATTGTCTCTGATGTTGATGGAAAACTAGTTTGGATTTAAAACTGAAAATGTTTGGAAATCAGGTTCTATTAGTTTAGTAGCAATATTCCGTGCTTTTTGTGATTTGCTCTTTCCCTTTGTCTCCTGATTTTCTTGCATTGCAGAGATGCGAAATTGGGCTGTTATTGTGAAGGCTAGAGGTGGTAGCTTAGATTCTTCGACCTCACTTAGCTTGATAGGAAGCATGAAAAAGGGTGAGGATGAAAACTTTTTAATTTAAGTTACAAAGTAAGAAAATAGTTATAAATTTTAACCATTGAATTAACAAATTTTTCATCTTTAACCTTTTTCGTCCTTCCTAATAAGCAAAGCCTTTCCATTGTCACGTCTGTGCAAAATATTGTTGATCTCTCTCTCTCAGGCACACACATCGTAATTGTCATTGCACTTCCTTTATGCTCAAAACATATCAGGAGAGGGGGGATTAGTGATTACTTTGTTCAAGAAATAGCAGATTTGTATGTTTAAATTTTAAATAACTTAGTTTTTAATTTTCTTTCCTTCTGTGCATTCTTTTTTTCATGTGTGGTTTCCGTACAACAAAGGATACTTAGCTTAGTTTCATTGGATGCTCGGTTGTAACAGATCCAGAGAACAGGAAACCGAACGTATATGTCCTTTTTCCACATTTCTCCTCCAAGGCTTCAAATACTAACTCATGTTTCTCTTCCTTTTCAGCGGTTTATATATCGCTATCTCTTGTTCAAACCTTATCGGTAAGTAGAATTCCTTGACTTTAGAGATTGGTTGATGCTGAAATCCTTAGATGTTACATGACACATGAGATATGATTGCCTACCTTGAAGAGAACACCATAGGTGATTTGTGAAACTTTAACTTAGTCTGGAACAAACAACCTAATTCTGAACTGTTCCAAATCATGTAACAGTCAATATCTGAAATATTTGGAGAGTGGATTCTGCTGCCAAACCGTCCTTAATGTAATTGAGGCTCTCCATTTTGTTTTACATTTTAGCATACTATATTAAAGAAGATATTTTTCTGTCCCTTAAAATCAAGAATCGATTTCAAATCTATTGATTCATCATCAAATCCTTTATCAGGCTTTTACTTTACATGAATGTTAATAGCATTCTATATTGAAAAAAAATTGTTTTTTTGTAAAATTATAAAATTATATTTAGAAGTTGGAGGGAAGAAGGAGCATATGATTGTGATACTCAACTTTGTCATTTCATATGTGATTTGTATAAACACAATTAAAATTTTATATTCTTTAATATAATTAATATATAATATATGATATTAAAATTAGTAATATACAATTTTAATAGCATTAATTATATAGTTAAGTATAAATATCATATACTCTGAATTAAAATTAATAGCAATATAGAATTTTTTTTTTTTTGTTATATCAGGAGGGCAAAGCCTGAGTACAAAGTAAGGAGGAGGGGGGAGACTTGATTCAAAATCAAGCTCTTGAAGTCCCCTCAAGCGCCTTTAATTACTAGATTAAAAGTTTGGGGACGTAATATAAAATTTTAAGATATGATGTTGTGGACCTAAATGTACCACAATAATTGTTAATATCAAAATGTCATAATCAGAAGTAAGTTCAATATTGATTGGTTAGATTTTTCAAAACCATCACTACAATGTAAGTCTAAAACCATTAACTACAATCAATCACTTTCCAAATACATAAAATTGGCTTAACTCAATTAATTTATATAATTATTTAAAAAAAAATAACATGTAATAAGCCTAAAATTTAAATTCTAATGTTTGTAACATCTATCGTCCCTTTAAGTTATAATCTTCTTTGTTAAAAATGAAAAAAAAAATCACTTTGCAAGCACCAAATTACAATCCTTATGGCTTATGCCCAGCTTCTTCAATATGTTCTGCTACGTGCTTTGAATGCAAGTATTTATCAGGTTGAAAAACTTGATTTTGAACCTTTTATTAAAATCAACTTTTTGTAAAAACTTGGACAATGATTGGATTAATACAGATATCAAGTTTGCTCATAAGGAGAAAAAAAAAACTGAAACAACATGATTAAGCCAAGTCCAGATCATTCTTTCCTACTCAAGCGTTAGCTTTTCTATCACCTGGGTCCTGATAGAACAGATGCTGGCTGTGGACTTGAAGGTACCATGATAACTTCTGCTGGAGCTTCAACTACCGTTGATGTCAAAAAGCTATAATCAGAAACAGGTTCCATGGTCAGTAGACCTTCCAAAACCTTGCATACCATGGACATTGAAGGCCTTCTGTTATAATCACTTTGCAGGCACCAAATGGCAATCCTTATCATCTTGACAGCTTCTTCTGCATTTTGCCGAATGCCTTCGATACAATGATTGACCATGTCGAAAAGTTGATTTTGTTCTGCCTTTTGTTTCAGTATGGGCAAAAGTAAATAGTCATCTTCATCAGGCCGAGAGAAATCCAGATTTCTTCTTCCACAAACAACTTCTAATATGACAACACCAAAGCTGTACACATCTACCTTTTCTGTTATCCTTCCGGTTAACCATTCAGGGGCTAGATAACCTCTTGTTCCTCGCATTTGAGTTATAACATGGCTTTGGCTCCTGTCAATTGGCCTTGCCAAACCAAAATCTGATAACTTGGCATTAAAGCTGTCATCTAGGAGAATGTTTTCAGGCTTAACATCTAAATGAGCTATTCTCATTTGACAATCCTCATGAAGATATGCTAGTCCCTTGGCAATATCAAGGATGATCTTTTTCCTGATTTCCCATTTAGGTGTTGTAGTTGAGCTTTTGTTGAAGATCCACTCATCCAACGAACCATTAGTCATATGCTCATAAACCAACAACGTGTTTGAACTTTCAATGCAAAAGCCTATTAATCTCACCAAGTTGACATGATGTATGCTGCCTATTGTCTTCACCTCTGCTAAAAACTCTTTCCTACCTTGACCTACACGATCCAAGCGCTTTACTGCAATTTTTGTACCATCACGCAAAGTCCCTTCAAACACTGATCCAAATCCTCCTCCCCCAATCCTTTTATTGAAATTTTCTGTTGCAGACTTGAGATCTTCATAATGGAATCTTGTTGGCAAATATGTTACAAGATTCAATGACTTCTCCCAGTCATCTTCAGTTTTCTTCCTTCCTTCTTTCTTTCTAGACCCCCGCTTTCTTAGGATGCGAACACATGCCAAAATTAGGATAAATGTGACTATCAAAGCTGCAACTACAAGTACAATGATTAGTTCAATCCGAATTGATTTCTTTTTTGCCGATGGTGGACTTGGAGATCGAACCAAGGGTGGACTTAGCGATGGAGGGCTTGATGGAAACAATGTTGATCTCGGTGGACTTGGTGATGGAGGGGTTGTTATATATGATGTTGAACTCGGTGGACTTGGTGGTGGAGGGGGTGGACTTGGTGGTGGAGGGGGTGGACTTGGTGATGGAGGGCTTGATAGAACCAATGGTGATATCTGCACCTTTATGAAGGATGAACTCGGTGGACTTGGTGATGGAGGGCTTGATAGATACAATGTTGAACTCGGTGGACTTGGTGGTGATGGAGGGCCTGATAGAACCAATGTTGATCTCTGCACCTTTATGAAGGATGTAGAGTTGTAAGGAAATAATACTGGTGAGGTGCTCATCAATGAAAAAATTTGAGATGGTAAGGAGCAGTTGCCACTCATGTTCTTAGAATTGTAGTGAAACAAAGCTGCTTTGCAAGAACAATTCCTTAAACAAGCTTGTTTGCAACTCTCAATGCTTGTGTCGAGAATAGCTGCCACAAAACCAAAATAAGAAACGTTAGGAAGCTCTATAAATGAGTGAAGATGACTTGATTGGCAGAACAGGGGGGTGACTCTTCTGCATCCAGTACTGGAGTTCATGAAATAGCTAGTGTCTCCATTATTTCCTACAGGACAACTACATTGTTCTTTTGTGCATATCCCATAGTTTCCACAAACCGTCGGATATGCACATTTGCCATGCTTGTCTGTCAAGATGTCAGCAACTGCCGATGCGTTTCCTTTAAACCATTGGTAGGCTCTCAAATGACCATCTGTATCTAACCTCAGAAACTGAAAATTTTCTGTGTCAGGGGTGTAACGAGCTGCAATTGTCTGACTTGTATATTCAAGTTCGAGCCTTCCAGTCTTAAATTGCTTAGATTCTTCACCTTCAGCAAAGACTTCATGGTATGTCTGTGGGGGACTAGACTGAATAAAAGCATATAGCTTCTCATTTGCAAAGGACAAGTAAAATTGACCCGGCGTCCAATTTGATGCCGAGACACTGGCGATCAGCTTTTGCCCTTGCCGTATTCTTTGATTTGGGAGCCATGTATCTATGGGGTAATCCAAAGATTGCCAAATGGGGATGCTAAAAGAACCCGTTTCGGAATAAACAAGCTTAAGAGTCCCATTTCCAGTTATGTTCATATAATTAACTGAACTGTTTGATGTATTCGAGGACCATACAAACATACCATCAGCATCAGATAGCACCAAATTTCCATCTTCCTTGAACTCAAGCGTGGCATTCTCCGTGACAGGATCGTCTCTGTTGGCTATCCAAAGTATTTGTGGGGAACCTGACTGAATAATTGCAGAATCACTTGTTGCTTCGACAGCAAAAACAGCAAAATAGAAGGCATTCGTGGCTCTACGACCGTAAAAACCACATCCGAAAGCTGGGAAATTTGCTGGATTGCCGGTATTGAGAAGTATAGATCTAATAGTTGAACCGTCAACAAAGTCTACACTTCCTCTTGATATGAAATCATTGTTTATCCAGGTGCTTGGGAGTTCAGCAGAGGCATATTCAGTTTCAACTGCATGGAGGAAGAAAGGAAAATTAATCAAGGACAGAATAAGTTGAATTAAACATGTCACAGCCATAGTATTTTCTTGCAAACATGAGATCATCAGCTCAAGTTTAGGCCGAGCTGGAGAGAAAAGCGGAGGCCATGGGTCTTGGGCCTTGGTAAAACTATGAAAGAAGGTTTATTTTCCAAAGGCTTGTCTCATCTAAAACTCCTGGCAAAGTGCTGAAAGGTACCCATGCCTGACACAGATCAGCTCACACTTCCGCTGCTTCTCTATTTTTCTGGATACAAAAATTTCATCAGTTTTTCACAGGCACACTTTTAAGTAGCTAATTATCGATCGAATGTTTGTCATTTAACACGGAAATATTCAAGTACTTGAAGGAAATTGGTAGAACGAAAGAAATGAGCAGGGTCCCAGCTAGAGTAAAAATTTCGGTGACGCATTAATCATGAAAAGGAATTGCAATTGGGACATATACCCGTCTTTTTATTGGGGTTTTTGATCTCCAATTTCAACTGAAAGACTGATTCAAAAGGTTTAATCGATTGTATGGTCTTAATTAGACAAGTCAGTTTGACTAGGAGAATTTCCATCGGCGTTTGCATCTTCTTTCAATCCAGCTTTCTGTAAACGTAAGTTTAAGAACACAGGAATTTTCATTGCCAGAAGTTTAAAGGAAGATTCACGGCAAACAAAACCTTGTGGCCACAAATTTAAGTTTCAAGTCCAAGCTGTTTGTCCTCGGACTTACACCTTTTCAAATAAACTACTTGTTGACAAGCTCAAATTAAGGCACTATCCACACAGCTAGCATGAATTACGTCTTGAAGGGGCTACTGTAGATCTGCAACTGTTTTCACATTCGAGAAAGGGAGACTCAGTCTTATAACGAAGATGCAAGGAAATCAAGTTTGAGCTGGTAGACTCCCTAATTACCCATACTCAAATTTTTTAGTAATTACTTTTGGGTAATATGTATTATTATTTTTAAGATCATCATTGTGACGTAATCATTGAAGTAAAGTTAGTATGAAAATGATTTTATTATTTGTGATTTGAAATCATTTTATTAAATTAACAATTATTAATTCATATGAATTAAATATTATTGTATTTGATATTATTAAAAATAAAATATTATTTTATTGAAAAATATGAAAATAATTATTCTTATTATAATAACTAAACAATTTAATAATTGAAATATTATTTAAAAATAATAATTTATAAAACATAGTAATATTTTATTTATTTTATAATAAATATAATTAAAATTATTAAATATATTTATTTATCAAGTAAACTAATTTTTATAATATAAATTATGTAAAAAATTATTTGAATTAAAAAATAAAATTGATATATTAAAATCTTAATTAAAAACAAAAACATTATATTATATTTAAAACATTAAAAAATATATATGAATTATTTTTGAATTTATTATAATGAATATTAATTTGAAAATATAAAAATTTATAATATAAATTAATTACAATTTTAGAGAAATCAAAATTTTAATTCACATATAAATTGATAATATTAAGTATTATTAAATTCAAATATCATTTCAAGTTGGTGATCTAAAATCATTGTCATATAAAATTATCAAATATTTACCAAACATGATTATCTAATTACTATATATAAATTACTATGATTTTAGACTGATCTTCCAATTATACCGAACATTACTTTGAAGTATAGTTCAAGCACCTACCAATATTTCATTAAAGTATTCACTTATGATATTGTATTGCATAAAATTTACTAAAATATTGTATGAAACATGCACTTATAATTAATGAATTTTTATATAATTTTTATTATTAATCTTGACACATGAAATAAATAATTATTATTATTTAAATAAATAATAAAATATACATATTTATAAATATAAAAAACTGATTTAGATTTTATTAATTATTTTTGCTATTTGCTTTTTGTTGTTTATATTATGTATTACTTCAAAATTTGCTTATAAAATAAAAAAAAAACAAACACATACAAATCAAATTAGATATAACTACAAAATAATTAAAACACAATTAAATTGTCTACGTAATAAATAATATATTTTTATTCACAAAAAGTTATAATTTTAATTAAAATTTTAAACTTTTGTTTCTAGAAAAAAGGCAAGTAATACAAATAACAACCAAATTATATAAAAAAAAAATCCCATACTTGATTCAAGGGATCATGCCGTTAATCAACATTCCCAACAGCAGAGAATATGAGCCAAAACCTTGGCCATCAGGCTAGACCCAGCCACACTTGATTTCACCTCCTTTGATGACGTCCACATTGATTAACGCATTGCAAATTTTTTTTTTCGTTTTGTGGCGCTGGCTCACCAAAAAATCGACTTTTTCACTTTTTCTTTTAGCTGAAACTAAGGTGAAAACCTTAAACCTTAAATTCAGTTCTCTTCTTCATATCAAAATATTTGTTCTTTTTCATAGTAAATCTAATCCTTTTGGACTTAAATGAAAACAACCCACTTTTCAGAACTGCTTTTATTTCCTTCTTTTGCGCTTTTAGCAGGTATTCATGGCTTCCCTTGCTGCAAGTTTGCCTCCACCACTGTCTTTACAAGGTAGAAAGTCCGTCTTCAGGACTCTTCGGAAACTCCCGTTTTCATCTACTATAGGTATGGCATTTACTTTACTTATCCTAATTCCTAAAGAAACTATCATTTTACGATTTTATTGTACTTTAAAATACCATGGTTCAGTTTTAACTACACTTGTTCACTTGGATAATTTTTGGGTTAGTCCATAGTTGAATTTGAGCCTCCATGTTCATTAATTTTCACTTTTATGTTGATTATAGATAGATGATGCACGTAGTTATGTATAGATTTTACGTGTGACAGTCTGGTAACAGAATGTTCCTGATGGATTTTCAGTGTGGTTTTCTTAGATTATAGTTATGACATGGAAATGAAATATTCATGTGGCAGTAGCCGGTGATGACAAAATCTAACCTAGGGCAAGGCAGAAATTTTCAGTATTTAATTCTGAGTTAATGTTCCTCAATGCACTCGCGAAAGACTTTCAGAATCTGGCATTGTGTTTGTTGATTATCCTTGAATCATGCCCTTAACGGGATTAAACTATGTTAATCTCATGGCAATTCCAGTGTAGATACAGAGCAAATACTTGAATCTAAGACGTATTCTTGGAGAATTATGGATTTTTTTTATCGTCTTTCTCTGATGTTGATGGAAAACTTGTTTGGATTCAAAACTGAAGATGTTTGGCAATCAGGTTCTATTAGTTTAGTAGCAATATTCCATGCTTGTTGTGATTTGCTCTTTCCCTTTGTCTCCTGATTTTCTTGAATTGCAGAGATGCAAAATTGTGCTGTTATTGTGAAGGCTACAGGTGATAGCTTGGAGTCTTCAACCTCACTTAGCTTGGTAGGAAGCATGGAACGAGGTGAGTACGGAAACTTTTTAATCTAATAGTTAATATACAAAGTAAGAAAGTAGTTATGAATTTTAATCATTGGATTAACAAATATTTCATCCTTCTTAGCAAGCAAAACCTTTCCATTGTTAAGTCTTTGCAAAATATTGCACTCTCAAACAAACACACATCCTTATTGTCATTTCACTCCCTTTATGCTCAAAACATATCAGGAGAGGCGGTATTAGTGATTACTTTGTTCAAGAAATAGCAGATTTGTATGCTTAAATTTTAAATAACTTAGTTTTTAATTTTTTTTCCTTCTGTGTTGTCCAATTCTTTTTTCCATGTGTGGTTTCCGTACAACAAAGGATACTAAGCTTAGTTTCATTGGATGCTCGGTTGTTGCAGATCCAGAGAACAGGAAACCAAACGTATAAGTTCTTGTTCCCCGTTTCTCCTCCAAGGCTTCAAAAACTAACTCATATTTTTCTTCCTTTTCAGTGGTTTATATATTGATATCTCTTGTTCAAACCTGATCAATAAGTAAAACTGTAATATCTTCGATTTCATATTGAAAAGATATATAGAATATGAATGATATATATGTAGAGATTTAATTTTAAATTTGTGAGATATTTTTATAAGATAAAATTATAAAACTTTCGGATTAAAACGGATAATACCTCGTAAATTAGATGTAAGTTTTCACAAATGATATCAAAGTGATCATTAGTCGGTGCCCGTAGTAATCACTAAGTGTTACACGATGGTCTGATGTGATTTTGATTTTGTATATGGACTCAGCTTGACAGGGAGGTCAAACATTAAAGGTAAGAAGATTGTAATGTCTTCAATTTCACGTCAAAAGGATATGTGAATAAGGAATGATATACATGTAAATACTTAATTATAAACTTATGAGATATTTTTTATGAGATAAAATTATAAGACTTTCAAGTTAAAGTGGATAATAACTTGCAGGTTGAGTACAAATCTCTATAAAAATTTTTAACTTTAGAATTATGAGATTATCAAATTAAAATAAATAATACCTCGTAGATTAAGTACGAATTTTCATAAAAATTTTTGACTTTAGAAAACGGTCGATGCTGAACTCCGTAGATGTTACATGGCACATGAGGTATGATTTCCTACCTTTTGTTTTACATTTTAGCATTCTATATTTGAAAAAGATATTTTTCTATCTCCCTTAAAATCAAGAATCAGTTTCAAATCTATTGATTCATCATCGAATCCTTTATCAGGCTCTTACTTTACATGAATTTTCTGTAAGAAAACTGGTAATAGCCTTCTTATCCACTCAAATATATATATATATATATATGTAACTTTGATTTCAAGATTCATTTAAGATTATAAACTTTGGATCTTAACAGTTCATAGCAGTTTAAATTCAGTATACATCCAAATCAAAGTAAACAAGTGGACCATCATCAAATTTATGAAAATTTTGAAGCGGAAAATGAAAAAAAATTTCTTGTGGCAAAAAAAAAAAATGCAATATGTCAAGAAATTCACTTCATATTTTTTATTTTAATTTTTTAAAAATGATTCATTAGTTTCATCAACGGTCAAATTTTAACACTTTTGACCTAATTACTCTTTTGATTTCATTTTTATTATCTATTTTTTAAAAAATATTTCAAAATTATGTTTTTTTTTAAATCTAAAACTCTTATTTTTTTATATTTTAAAATTATTTTTATAACTTTTTTACTTTTAACATTAAAAATTATGAAATTTTAATTTTATTAAAAAATAATTTAATTTTAATATTAAATATATTAAAGTTAAAATTTTTTTTAAACTTCCTAAAAATTAAAACAAAACAAACAAATTAGGATGGAAGGAGTTTGGAGTAGTACTGGTTAAAATGAAAAAAAAAAAAAAATGATTGAAATCCCTTTCTTCATCTAAAACTCTCAATTGCCTCCAAAACGACGACGTACGACCCAGGATCAATTAGCATCATCAAATACTAAAAAAAAAAAAAAAAAAAAAGGTTACCGAGCAAAGTAGATCGACTCACCTTTTTGTTTCCTCGATCAAACCGAACCTCTCTTTCACTCTGTAAACCAAACTAACGTCAATGAATTGAAATCTCAAATCCACGGCGCATTTCTATCAGGTTTTGATTCTCACTCGTGCTTCTCTCTTTTCTCTTTCGTTTCTCTAAAACCAAAAGAAAATGTAAAAGAAAAAAAAAATCTTAATCCCGTAATGGGAATCTCGCTTTATCCTTGGGAAAAAAAAATTATAATTTCTTTCAAATCGATTTAACTGCGTATCCTTCTTAGTTCAGGTGTCTTTTTCGCTTTCTCTAATTTACTTTTAACAATTAATTAATTAATCAATTAATTACAACTGTGATTTTTCATAGTTTCGTTTCGATTTTTCCTTTTCGTTTTTCACGCTTCGTTTCCCAATTCGCTGCGTTTTTTATTTCTT